TGTGATTGGTCAATTTCTTACGACTTACGACTTACGACTGTATTGTAGAACAGGCCTTAAAGGCCTTTGCATATAAATCGCCGTACCGTAAAACATATCATAAGAATTAACCAATCAGAATGTACTCCATATCCTTACCATTTTCAGATGTGTGGAAATTTTTAATATAATTGGTCAATTCTTATATTACGGCTACGGCGATTTATATGCAAAGCCTTGACTAACTTTTAGTCGACCTTAAAGCTTGTTTATGACTATCTGCCACGGTACGACTTTTTTATGGCCGTTACAATGTCGTTTTTCATCGTCAAGGCCTTGACGATGTAAAATTTCCCATTTTTAGGTGTTTTTTGGAAAAAACTTCCCATTTTTCCCTTTTAGTTTTAAATGGTCGAAAATTCCTACAATATGGAAAATTTCCCTCGATCTGGCAACACTGTAACCAATCTAATTTTCATTAGGTGGCAAACGTTTTGTATATATACGAACTTTTCTTAAACCTTGTGTCCACGCTAAACATCGATTAGAAATCTCGAATGGAAAAAGAATTGACCATTGCATTCTACCAATTCGGCTAGTTGATCAATGTGATTGCTTAATTTTCTCTTTATTTGAGTATCGTGGACACAAGGCTTAATAAATAAAAATATTTTATACATATATTGTGACGTTTTTCTCGGTTGTTACGAAAATCCCGCGTCGTCCCGCCCGAAACGGCAGTAAGAGATCGGGACACGGACGGAAGTCCGCGAGATAGTAAACGTCTGGATCGGCAGGAGAAAAAGGGTGGTCACACGAGCGTACCGCTGAGCCGAGCCGACGGATCCTTAGGTGGAGTTTTGGGCGCCAAACGCGTTACCGCGTCACAATTTGCGTCGCGCGACACAACGGGCCGACTAGCTCTATGCAAGTGGAGAGGGGCGGGGTCTATGGTTTTTAACTAACAGGCTGTCCCTCCTAGGATGGGAAAAAAGGGCGCGAAAGAGATAGAGAAGCGTAAGCGGGCGCTAGTAAGTTCAAGTAACAATTTTATTGACAAAATATGAGAAATGGATAAAGAAAAAAAAAACAGATGTAAACGAGTCGAAAAAAAAGAAAAGAGTTATGATACTAACGAGTTAGGAATAAAGACTAGGGTATATAAAATTAATAAGAGCTTAAGCGAAAGCGCGGAGAAACACTACAAAAGAAATTATGCAGCAATTAGCATGACCAGAACGCAAGCACGCAACATATCCAAATACGTAACTACGCCGCGTGGCTGAAGCGAGATAGTGAACCAGGTGGAACGGTTAGTGCGTCGACAACGGTAGAACTGCGTTCCTTAGCCCGGGTCGTGAGGGGTGGGTATTTTTTCTATGCTGGCGGCAGAATAGCGCGAATGCACGGACCATCCACGGCGACAAAGCTTTCGCTGATCTATTTTGGCAAGAAGCTACTGAAGCCGGTAACAAGCAGGGTCGAGGAGACGCGCAGCGCTCTCCGTGAGCATTCCGCCGGACAACGCGACTCCGGGCAAAATCTGTGATTATTACGACAGCTCTAAGGTCTCGCCAATAC